AATCCAATAGAACCCTCAGTCACAGCTCGATATGTACGAATAAATCCAGTTAATTGGAACCAGAAGCCTTGTCTTAGATTGGAACTATACCGATGTTCCATTAGAGACGGTGAGTACTAAAAAAAAATTAATTGACACAGTCAAAACGCAAAGACTTAGTATAGTGGTCGCTTAAGAGAGGTGATAACTTATGAGAAAAGAAGCACAGGGGATCTCTTCTGAGGAAATGTCCGGACACGTCTAGTTTATGAAAGTTAATTGATTGCATGCAATTTTTAAGTTACGAAATCATGTGGAGTTCCATGTTGCTGCTAAAAGTTCGTATATTCTAGGTAGCATAGTACAGACAGAAAACATAGAGATCAGACAAGCCGTCCTTAAAAGAGGTTTAAAGCAATGGGAAATCATTGAACCGTCAGCCCCAAAACGTGGTCTCAGTTGCGGTCGCTTATCAGCTGAGCCCTGTTATCGTTTACGAGAAGTTCGGATTATAGGGATTGACTGGAAAAAGTTTGGTGTTTTGGACTATATGGGTTGTGGCCATACCATAGGATCTAGGTGGTGGTCGCACGTAAAGGTTTGACGGTATTTGGAGGTTCATCGTTCTGCCTTTTTGGTCAGACGAAAAAAAGCTGTGTAAAATGAAATAAACTACGAAAGGTTTTTTTTTGTAAGAAATAGATTAACTCATGGTCATGAAAGGCAGCAAAATTAAAAGTTTGAAACGACGTTACTGCAGTTCGCGTTATGTTCTTAGGGAGCTTAAGCAACGACGACGGCGACGGCAACGAGAACGGCAAAAAAAGCAATAGAATTAGAATAAGCGCGATAAAGTTTGAAGCTGCGCAACTTTACTTTTTAAGTGACGTTTCCGTAGCCGTCGCCGTCGTTGTTGCTTAAGCTCCCTATCAACCCGAAAAGTGGAACGGAGAACGAGCACAGGGAACAGAAAATTAAAAAATGGGAACAAAACAGAGAACTGGAAATGAAGTAACTGATAGCGCTAAGCTTCAAGTTGATTAGGTTCCCATTTTTCATTTTCCCATTCCCCGTTTCCCGTTTAGTAACATCCCTCCCAGAACGAGCAGAATCTTTTGTTCTGTGTTCACGACCAGTGAATAAATAATTAAGAGGTTTAAACTGATAGAAATGGCCTATAGAACGCTGTGAAAGGCCAAGTTAAAAAAAAAAACATAACAAAAACATTCAAAAAAGAAGTCTGACAGGTTCATAATTAATGCACTTCATGAACGAACTAGTGGCCATCGTTAGATGATGAAGGTTACATGCCAATTCTTCAGTCTTCTATGAAATAAATCTCTAAAATTGCTTGATAGAATTTGCTTTTAGTTTAATCAAGCAAATCGCTGAAATACAACATAGGCTTTGCTTTCTTTAGCCTGGTGTTTATCCTTCTTTATGTTTATGTCTTTTAGCTGATCGTTACGAATTATGAAGAAGATGATATCCAGTGGAGACCTTCAATTCTGTTACTGCTTCATTTTCATGGTCGTAATGCTCTCCACTAGGAAGTTTACTGAAGAAAGTTCCAAACTGGTTTTAAAATGCATATTTGTGCTGTTTTCTGTGGACGTTGAGAATCTTTATTGCTGAACCGTTTCCACAATTCCTCATCTCTATTCAATAACATAGGCAACTTTGTATTGCGCCACTTGTGATAACAAATGTTCATGCAATGTGCAGTACTGAAATACTCCCTTAATGATGCCCTCTATTTTAGTTAAGTCAGAGGAGAGAAAGGTCGCTCTGAGGCAAACATCACAAGAGGATGCTGCGTTATTACGACAATATTGCAATACTTAAAGGTGAAAGTGAATGAGATGGTGAGAATCTTTTAGACCCACCATTGAACAGACAATGATCGCAAATGCGTTGATCTCAAGACTAAAAGAGAAGCTGCCGCTAACATATCTACATTTTACTTCAAACAATAAACTTGCAACCATTGCACATAAGTCCACAAATCTATACTTCCTCTCCATGCACAAATCGTATTATTTTAATGGTAGCACGGAGCACACAACTGTAAAATGGGCTATTGTCATTGTTTTCCTTTCATTTGTCTTCACAGGGGCGTAGCGAGGTGAACGCATGGAACAAAAGTTAGAGCGGCAAAGGCGTTCCAAATTAGGGGGGGTCTGGGGGTATACTGCTCCAGAAAACTTTTAAATTTAGGGTCTCGAAAATACCGTTTCCTGTGTTTTTCTTTTTCAGTATATAAATAAGAAGGATGATGAATTAGTTGTTTATTTTACCCATCTTTCGTGTCATCGGTAAGTTAAGGTACAGTGTACAGCAGCGGGAAAAAAGGGTAAAACAGTGACGTTATCTACGAGGTTACAAGCAAAGGGCGAGATGTGTACCCTTCAAATGGGCAAACCCTGTTACAACGCCATCAATATCATCGTCCTTGTGCTGGCATATGTACAAAATTGCAAGAGAGCTCAATCGCTCGTCTGTCAGCCCACCATAACGTTTCTTGCCGTGCGTTTATGGAATAAGAGAGGGTAAAGGGAATACTAACACAAAAACACCAATATAATGATGAAAATTAACAGTCATCCCGATTAAATGACAAAAATGCTACCAGGAAATTTTTTCCAGATTTCAGCTGTACGCACGGGCGCAAGTGCGTATAAGGAAGCTATACCCCAGCTTCAGACAGCAGCAGTTTTGGTCTGAAGTAGGGTAAAGGAGTTTATATATTTTAGTCTGAGATTGGTTTAGCGTTTTAGAATGTACACCACACACACTCCACACGAGACTTGTAGGAGCAATTGAAGTTTCATGTGTGGAACGCATTTTGACCACCGGCGAGCATACCTCCACACTTTGATGTAGTTTACAGGAAAGCATGAAAATATCCGTTTCTTAAGGGCACGTAGTTTGAGATGGCATTAAAATGATGTTATGATGAGCAAACAAGGTAATTTAGAGTAGTAGCAATACACTTAGGCATGCTTTATGCTAAAGAAACCGGGATAAGCTTCGGCCGTTCGGGCCTTTGGCTCGTTTGCGCCTTTTCCTTACCTTACTTTACACTCGCGTGCCAATTGATCCAGACTCCACAATTAGGCGTAAAGGCAAGTCATTCAAGTGCCAAATATTCTAACGAGTACACGAGGAGAGGATAACATCCTCTAAACTGGGTAAAGCTTAATATATACCTTTACAGTGTAGATGGATCAGACACAAAAACGAGTTTATTACTGCATACAAACAGGACGCAGGGAATTTTAATATTTCTCTAGTCCACTTCTGAAACAATTTTTTGTGCACGTAACTTTTTTTAAGCTGTTTAGGTTCTAATATAATATTGTAATGTATTTCCTATTTTCTGTCCAATAAGCCTTATTAAAACTCGTTTGACGGTTAGCTACGTAACTGTAAAAACAATAAAAGAACACAATTGACTATTTTCCAATTCCCCATAATACACTCTGTCTGCCCCCCAAATTTTGCATAACTTATTGTCTTAAAATGCTCTTGGGAAAATGCAATACTCCCAGGAGCATTTAACAAAAATGGTTTATGCAAAATTGGGGGGCAAACAGAGTGTATTATGGGGAATTGGAAAATAGAGAATTCAGTAAGCAAGTTTCTTCCATTGTTTTCTTTACCACGTTTTTAATAATACGGCGATTTTTAGTTCTAACGTCTTAGCTTACCTTATCAAGGTTAATGGTTGGGAAACACGGAAGGCCACATGACAGGGACAAGTCCCGAGGATATATTGGTGGGACATCTCCCCTGGACATATTGCGAGACACGGCCCAGACATATGTTGCAGAGTATCTCCCGGGGATATGTTGCAGGACATGGCCCGGGGACATATTGCAGAACATGACCCAGAGATATGTAGCCGAACTCGTTGTAGAGATATGATATGCGCTTAAACAATTTTATGTCGTGTTACATATTTGTCCCACGAAATTCAACTTGTTAAACTTGATCTATAAGGCATACCCCGGGAGCAAAAGGGAAAATAAATTATTTAACACGTCTTTGCAACGAAATTTATAGTTGAACCAATAAGAGACACTGAATGAATGTCCTCACAACATTTTCTGAGGGTACAAACATGATTTTGCCCCTGTTACAGGCCCCTGTCATATTCATGATCCCTCAAAACGTACGGTGTATGGACAGAGTAATCCTCTCGATTTTCCCAATTCCAAGCTCACTTCATGCGCGGCGCAGTCGCCCATTTTCACCAGGGGCGGATCTAGGGGAAGGGTGCAGGGGGTGCGCACCCCCCCCCC